CCAAGGTACCGTAGTGCTTCCCACAACTGATCCCCCTAAATGGTTGACATAGCAGAATAGAAGAATTATATGCTCATCACGAAAGCTATCTCGTATGAAATTGGAAAGACTTCATTAAGAAGTCTGCATTTTTTATTTCATGAGGAAAGCACATAGATGTCTGCACTTTTAAGGACATCGATTTGTATAGTTTTTTAACAAAGAAATCAGAACAATCAAAAGCTACTACGAGTTGACAGAACTTGAAACTAATAGATTAACCTCAGTGTATAGTCTAAGGAGCCCAATTTGTATCAGCATATCATCAGAAAAGACACTCTTCAACTAAGCTATGAAATTTTTGAAGCTAATCATGTCATCTGAGACCACTACACAACCAAAGCAAAACACTAGGTGCCTGATTGTTCTTCGTTTGCTATTGTTTACTCAGCCATTATACCTACAAGTGTTTTTCGGATCAGTCCACTCACTTTGTTTCAATTTTTTGCAGTACTGGTTTAGGCCAGTCCAAAAGGAAAAAATGTACTCTGAAGAGAATTATTATTGTTAACCACAAAAGTTCCAATAAGATTTAGGATCAAAAAATCAGTCCAGATACTTTACCAATCATAGTGATCCCCGCATCCAAACATATTCGAGTATTGTTCTTAGGCAGTAACACGACACTGGAATATCTAACACCAAGAGACCCCGATAAATATTAACTATATGTTAGGTAACTAAGTAAGGAGCGGTCGAGACACAAGCAGGTTATTCTGAATCTAATCTGGAGATCAGGTATGCTCACAATGAGGAACTGAGTTTAATGCACAAAAAAATGAAGAACATTCATAATACAATACCACATTCTAGTAACTGAGAACTAGATGCAGCCTGTTTTAAACAGTCAACACATACTTAGAACAAACTGCAGTCATTAACACTAACAGGATTGCCTAAGAGAAACATTAAAATAAGAAATCAACAAATGACCAATATCTTATCTATCAACGAGAATTACAAATAAGGAAATCGTTGACGAAGTTATTAATTGGCATCGTAAATTTAATGGAAGGAATAATGCATAAAACCTAAAACAATGTCCTCAGTAATCATCAAACTAGGAATGCTATGCTCTGAGAAACATCAACGAGTACACGAAACAAAAGCTCGATAACACGAATCAACAGAAGCTAAGAACTGTAAGATTGTAAGATATACCGCCAGAAATCAACTTGCAGATATGAATCACTAGTCACAACACACGTCCAATTTCTGAAAACTGCATTGAACCCAATTCCTAATATTGCATCAAAATACAAATAAATCATAAGAAATGCTCTCATAAACAACAAATCAAATATATCCAAACTATTTACAAATGAATATATTTAAAGACAACCCATTAAAACAAATTAACCAGCAAAACAACCAAAGTAAAAAGATATGCGAAAACACAGAAGCAGCAGCAGAGGAATATTTGTACCAGTAATTCTCTGAGAGAAGCCGTCCCACCAACATTCCAGGGGCTGCAATTCTGAAGCAGCTACCACATTCTGGTCAACCTTCTTCTTCTTCCTGGACCCTCTGATGGGTCCCATTTCAAAAACTCAAAAGCAACACCAACAAACTCCAAAGTGTTTGTCAGCCAAGAAAATCAAAGAATTAAGAATCCCACACAATTCAGAGAAAACCCATCAGCCAGAAACCTCAAATTTGAAGCCTGTGAGAGAAACAGAGATGATGAACAGAAAGAACATGATGTTTGTGTATGGGAGAAGATGGTTTGGCTTAAAGGGATGAAAGTTTGTAGCTTTGTGTATAAATACATGTGATATTTGCCGTATTAATGGTGTTAATTTTTATTTATTTATTTAAATTTGTTGGATTTCAAAGCATGCAGTGAGAACATATATAAGTTGAAGAAAAATACGTGAAGGAGAAGGTTGGAGATTGCAAGTGACGCGGGTTGGTTGCGAGCAGACAACGCAGCAAAGACAATGAATATATATTTACGTTTCTGGACATGAGATGAGACACTTCCGACTGCCTCTTTTTTTCGCTGTGTGTGTGTGTCCAGGTATTATATCTTTTTCCCTTTCACCAACAAAATAAGAAGAAAAAAAATGGTTGAAAGAAGCTTTTGCAATTATGAAAATTTTGGTGTATGGAAAATATTTAATAATTATATTTTCGAAAGGAAATTATAATGACGATTTTCAATTTGTTACCTTCAACAAAAATCTAAGATAGACTCCCGCCTTACTTTTTCCATCAACGTAACATGTCACTTGACTCTAGGTTCATTCAAAAAAGTTACATGCGCAGTGCACGTGACTTCTTTTCAAAGGAATCGACTAATTTTAATGTCTCAATAACACACAGTGTGCATGCCTCACTTAAAATGAATCAAAATTCATGTAACGGTTCAGACAATTTCTTTTCTTTTGGTTATCCAGATGATATTGGATGAGGGAGAATCGAACTTGAGACCTCAGGTGTAGAATGATGATCTTAAACAGCTAAGCGACAACCCCCTTTCACCAACAAAATAAGAAGAAGAAGAAGAAAAATTAAAGAGGTTAAAAGAAGGTTTTGCAATATAATTATGATAATTTTGGGTATGCAAAATCTTAATTATTAGATTTTCAAAAGAAGAACTACAGAGATGAATTTCAATTTGTTACCTTAAAGAAAAATTTGAGTAGGAGTTCGCCTCGGTTTTTCCGTCTTCAAAACATGTCACCTGACGCTAGGTCAGTTCAAAAAGTTATAGGTGCAGTTGACATGAATTCTATTTCTTTTACTGTCTTAGTAATACGAATTGCGCATGCCTCATTTAAAACGCATCAAATTTTTGTAGAAGTTCAAGCGGTCTCTTTCTTTCATTTTTTATTTATACAAGAGATATTAGAAGGAAAATTTAATTTGATTATGTTCTTAACCAACTGAGCAGCAAAATCCTTTGCCAAGCTGTTTCTTTCACCAAACAAAATAGCATAAACAAGAAGAAAAAGAGGTTAAATTTTTGCAATTATGATAAATTTTGGTGTATGGAAAATCTTAGTTATTAGTTTTTTTAAAAGAAATTTCAAACACAAATTTCAATTTATTACCTTAAAGAAATTTTTAGAAGAGACCCTGCCTCGATTTTTCAGTCTTCAAAACGTGTCTCCTGACATTAGGTTTGTACAAAAATTACATGTGCAGTGCACATGACTTCTTTTTAAAAGAATGAGCTGATTTTAATATCTTAATAAAGCGTAATGCGCATACTCTTAATCATTGAAGCAAAATCCCCTGCCAAGAGGTTTCTTTCTACATACAATCTTCTATTTTACCACCCTACCAATTGAGAATTTACATATTTTATATCATAAATAAAACAATTGTACATATATTAATAAATATACTCGTACTGATTTTATTAATCCATTAAACCAAATTAGATTTACTGTATTTTAGTTACTAGCTTTTAAAATAGTGGAAGAAAAAAATTGCATCCTGCAATATCCAGTTCCAAGCCCAGTCTCATTTTAAATATTTCGAATATAAGATCTCAAATGTATGAGTGAATAATAATTAGAGAAAAGTGTCTGACTTTGTTCAAGACCTCATATGCATGAGAGAGATCTGAACACGAGACCTCTTAATATAAGAGTAAAAATGCTCATAAAGCCAACCCACAATAAGTTCTTACTATTATTTGAGCTAAACACCTTCTCATTTACGATGTACACAATAACAAAGTTTTTGCTATATTGGAATGATTTATTTGTCAATAAAAACACTCAAACCCCTATAAATACATACTTCACATAATATTTTTTTTGCGTAATTAACCAAATTATATCCTTCATTTTATGTAATAAATTTTGATCATATACAAAAATTCCAAGTTGTGACAAAGATGATTCAAACGAGACATGTAAAGGAAACAATCGTCATGAAAAACGTGAGGTGCTATCAAAACGTCTGGCCGTAATGAGACTTGCGTTGTTGAATGAGCAGTTGGCAACTCATCATGTTTTGTTTTGCTTAATTTCTTGCTAAAAGTTAATTACTTTTAAAACAAGAAATAGGAAATATACAACACGTTGTTAAAAATTAATTTACAATGTTGAGTTTGTTCGAGAAGAAAAGTATGCGCATTGTAGACGGCTTCTCACTTCAAATAAAATTTTAATTTGTTACTTAAGAGAGGCGCTGGTAGATTTTTTTAATATTTGAATGTGTCAACCTAACACTAATCATTTTCAAACTTCTCTCCAAAAATAACATGTGCACTGCACGTGATCCATTTTCACCGTTACTTTTGGTCACTCTTATTATCTTCAATAACACGTAGTGCACATGCCTCATTAAAAATGAATCAAAACTCCTATTTTAAGTTCAGAAGGTCTCTCTCTTATTTATTTCGCTATCAATAGAAATCTTCTACTTTACACACTACCAATTGAGATTCACTTAGGGAATTGGTGTACGCATAACTTTTATTTTCTTCCAGACAAATGATTTTTATCATTTGAATCAAACATAACAAAGAAAAATTAAGGGGCATAAATAATAGTGACTAGAAATTGAAATAGTGGTAGCCAGTTATAAATCGTACTCGTCAAAGTAAATGGAACATACCCAACTCGCACGTTGTTCTTTTTTCGTTTGTCCCCCGCTTGGAGTGATACTTTGGAACCAAATCCGACGCTTTCTCCACCTCATTTAAATTACTTTCGAACACAAGATGGAGCTAGCATTGCACTAAAGTAAAAGACACGTTTGGTGGACAGGACTGGATCGGATGTCGTATTTCAGACAAGTTAGGTTAGGTTTGGAGTGGACACAATGTCGAGTATTGCCTAGTGTTTAGTTTTCAAGACTTAAGGATTCAAACACAAGACCTCGAATGCATGAATCAATATACTCATTATCACTTAACCGTTTGAACTACAAACCCCTTGTCACCTCGTCTTACATTTAGTTTTAACAAGAATCACCATGTGCTTTGACATGGAGAGGTCAAGCAAGTAACATAATCTGCCTTGTCAATAAGAAAGAAATATCTCAGTTTTACATATCTTTGCCTCAAACTAAGCTACATGGAGAAAACAAAATTTCCCAAAATTGGACTCACTAACAACTTTTGGCTTTTCAACAACCTACTCGAAAAGAGTACTATGTATGTTTATCCTAAACGTAATTAATAGGAAAAACTTAGGATACTGCCTGCAGGTGACATGCTTAACTTGCATTGGTTTGCTTCTTTGGACAAGCTGAAGAAATATGTCCCTTCTCACCGCATTCATAGCACGTCCTCCTCTTAATCTTACCAGTGCTCGCACTACTAGTATCAACTCCGGTGCCTGTAGTTGTATCATCTGGTGGCAAATCGGTGCTTCTTGTTGTAGTAACTGGTATCCAAGCGGTGCTTGTAGTTGTAGCTACTGGTATTAGACTGGTACTTGTAACTGTAGCTACTGGAATTGAATGGGTACTTGAAGGTGTAGTACCAGCCTTTGGACAAGCTGAAGAAAGATGACCCTTTTCACCACACTCATAGCACGTCCTCCTCTTAATCTTACCACTGATGTCACTCAACCCACCATTATCAGCTCCTGTAGCTGTAGCAACTGGTGTCGGATCGGTACTTGTGGTTTTAGCTACTGGTGTTGAATGGGTATTAAAAGCTGTTGTTGCAGACTTTGGACAAGCTGAAGAAAGATGACCCTTCTCACCACACTCGTAGCACGTCCTCCTCTTAATCTTACCGCTGGTGGCACTCAACCCACCATTATCAGCTCTTTTACCTGAATCTGTAGCAACTGGTGTCGGATCGGTACTTGCAGTTGTAGCTAGTGGTATTGAATGGGTACTTAATATTGTAGTTGCAGACTTTGAACAAGCCGAAGAAAGATGGCCCTTCTCACCACACTCATAGCACGTCCTCCTCTTAATCTTACTGGCACTCAACCCACTGTCATCAGCCCCTGTACCCAAAGTAGTATTTACGGGAATGGAATCAGTACACATAGCTGAAGCTACAGATGTTGAATGGGTACTTGGAGTTGTAAGTGCAGGAGTTGAAGGAGTCCCTGCTTTTTTCAGAGGAACTGCACAGCTTATCTTGACAGGTCTTCCACATACAACCTTCTGATCTAGCTTCAATGCCATCGTCACCGAGAGACTATCAGAGAAATTTACATGAGCGTAACCTCGAAATTCCCCTGTTTCCTTATCCATACCAAAATGTATAGATGATATCTTGCAATCCGAGAAAAGTTTCCTTAAATCATCCTCAGTAATATCCCATGACAAATTTCCAACATAGATTCTATTGTATCCCTCCACAATTTGGGGGGCAAAATCAGATACTTTATTTGGTTTATTGGGTCGAGTTGCCTTGTATGGCTGGATTTTCAGAAACAGTCCACCCCTGAGGTAATAAGAAGTTTCATTAGAATCATGTGATAACTGGAAAACCATCTTACAACAGCAAATAAAGAAACTACAGAAAACATTGTCGAAACTCACATTTCAGCTCCATCAAGAGCCAAGGCACGCTTAGCTGCTGCTTCTGTCTGTAAAAACATAAGCATGTTAAGATGAGACTACGATAAACCATCTTGTATATAGCATGACCTTAGATTTGGAAAGTATTCAGACTCTCAACATCCTCCTCATTTTGATTTCTAGCAATTTTTCAAAGTCAGGTCTATCTTTAAAGGAACACATTCATATTGAATGATGAATAACACTAATCATTGAAAAACAAAAGAATAGCATAAATTAATCAGAGGTTGTATGATATTGTTTATTCCTACCACAATTAAGTCGCTAACATCCACCATGCTGGAAGACATAAAATTGAAGCTAGGCAGATCAGGTACCAAGTGGTATATTGTGATTAACCTTTATGCCAATCATGGATTTGAGCAATTAGCCTATTGTGATTAACCAATGAACTCTTGCAAGGTATACTTATAGCTTCTTGAGGTTGAATAAGGCACATCAATTAGCGAAAGCAGAAGTTTAAGGAAGACATAATTTTAAAATCCACTACAGACAATCTGAATACTCGCATATCTCAAGTCCAAACTGGAGGAACCAGGAAGCAAACTATAACTTCCAAGATTTGTTCAAAAACATGTTGACCAGTGATATTTTAACATCCATTTATTGATACACAAAAATGACATTACGAAGTAGACTTTTCTAGTGGGGAAATCTTTGATTCATCAGGTTGTGAAGAGACTATCATTTCCAAATTACATTAGCAAGGACTGAAATACACAAATTTCTAATAAAAGTTCGAATGCGGAATTTAATTCACAATTTCTTACCTTAAAGCTAATAATAGCAATTCCTCTAAACTTCCCGCTGTCAGGAAACCTCAGACAATCAACTTCAGTTATCGTGCCGCAGCTTTCAAAGTAACTTCGAATATCATCCTCGGTCGAGTAATAAGGAATGCCTCCCACATAAACTTTTGTCGGAACATCCCCACTCGCTTGCCTAAACGAAACGAAACAACAAACAGAATGAGGCAAAAACTATAGAAAATTTCACACAGACAGCAGACACCTTCAATCCACATTTCCTCCCATAATACACTATCAATCAGACTCCTACTCAAAATCAGATATGCAAATATTCAAATTGAGCAAAAGGGTTTAGTCAAAAATCACCTATCAATGTTTATATCTGTTTCCTGGACAACTTGCTCTCCATTCCCAACCTCACCACCCTTCTTCTCTTCCTCGGTTTTCGCCCCAGTCTTTCTCTTCTTCTTCTTCGTTTTACTCTTCTTCTTTGGCTTCTTACTCTCCTTCTTCACAACCCCATTTTGCTCTGCACTCAAATCTCCATCTTTTTCCTCCTCATCATCTCTCTTCCTCTTCCTCTTCTTCTCCTCCTCCTTCTTCTTCTCAACCCCCATACCCTCTAAACCCACATCCCTTTTCCCTTCCTCCCCCTTGTTTCCTCCCAAATTACCACCACTGCCATTCACACTCACCACCTCTGGACCTCGCAAAGACAGGATCTTTCTTCGTTTTTCCCGCTTGGACAATCTGGGTTTCTGGGTTGCGGAGTCCAGAAGCACTTTCAGGGACCGGGGGGTCGATTTCGGGTCCGGATTTTCCGAGCCATCATTTGTCGGGTCGGTTTTAGGCTTCGCTACAGATTCAACTAACGATTGAGCTAGTTTTTCTCTTAGCTTTTGCTTCAGCTTTCTGTTAGACAAAACCATCTCTGCAACTCTTTCGAAAGTAATGGCTTTCACCGACTCTGAGGAGGAAGAAAGCGAAGAGGGGCCAAGCCGCCAAAAGCCTAGAGGCGTTGGCCTGAGGTTTCGGTTTGTAGTGAAAACGGAGGTAAACGTAGTCGATAGGCACGACGTCGTATTGAAGGTTAAAAGTAGTGATTTGGGCTTAAGCTTCAGATTTTGGGCCGGCTGATATGAGGCTTATATTGTGTTTGGGCTTAGGAAGGATTTTTGTAATCTTGAAATAAAAATTAATTTTGAACGTAGTCCCTTGTCTACTAAGGTAGTGTTTGTTACACCAAACTTTCTTAAACTGGACTAGCTTTAGGAACTAAACTGGACTGGCTTAGATTAGACTAAGGTAAACTAACTTAGTAAAGCATTTGGTGCAGTCTCGGACTAAAAAGCAGGATAATGAAAAACCATCACATTCATCACCCAAAAGACCAACAAAGCAATTCAGAACAAAAATCATACATTTTTTTTTTATGTAAAATTATAAAATTTTCATTTAATAAAGAATGATGTTAGGAGCTACACATATGATATGGGGTCATCGAATGAAGTACTACGTTGTGTATACAAAATGTATATGTACGTTTTATATGATTTCTCTTTGGCATACAAACTCAACTCAGGATCTTCTCCCTTCTTCCAGTAACTAGTGGACTGGTGCACTCGAGTCTGGACTCTCAATATCTGTTCTTCGCATATCGCATGCGAAGAGAGCTTAACCTCGTGGTCAAAGATAAGGGCACGCCAACATTCCTCTATGCACCCAGCATGTGGAAAATATACTTGAGGTGCCCACCCATCCAGCTGGTTTAAGAGAGGTAAGGACTGCTAGTAACAAATCGAAGTTGTGACAATTCCTACAAAACCTCCGGCGAAGACATCCTGCCAATGACTCAGTAATCATCACACGAGAGATTCCGACGAGAGCAGCACATAGTAATGGAAGAAATATAATGCAGAGCTTTGCGAAATGGCCTCTGTGATCAAACACTTTGATCTTCCCGAACAAATAACATGTAAGAAAACCAAGAACTGCAAATAAAACTGAAGTATTTTAACACAAGGAGTCAAACAACATTATTTTTTTTTTTACATTTATTTACATAAGTGGGATTAAATGAACAATTGTAAAAAGCAATTAAAATAGAATCGGAGGGATATGAACAGGAAAGTACAACAGACCAAAACAAACAACTGAACATAGTGCACCAGGCTACTGCCATGGCAGCCATTGCAGAGTCATTGCAAAGTAGATACATAGACAAACAATTAATGAATTTGGCTCCAAGTTTTTGAATTTTATTTATTAATAATTTACCAAAAACAACACCCAAACTCCAAAGCTATGCATCTGCATCTCAATTCTTTGTCCTTAATACTAGTTTTCTAATCAAAAGGCTTGCATCTGCATCCAAAGCCGAAGCACCACATGCTTGGACAATCAAAAGGCTTGCATCTGCATCCAAAGACAGCATGTGGTGCTCTTGGCACACAATTCTTTATCCTTAAAACTAATTTTCTAATCAAAGTATGCACCATAATTATCATTTTACTTTTCTCATAGAACACCTAATTATTACTGATATTAATATGAACAAATGTGCAGCCCCGTGCACCAGGCTACTGCCATTGCAGAGTATTGCAAAGTACAAAGACAAACAATTTGAACGACTCTATGCAATTCAGGGATCCATACCTTGTCAAAGTATTAATAACACGAGCGTGAAACTAAAATGCTATACATTCAAATTAACTGCAAAAGAAATGCCTGATATACATATTAGCACAAGAATTGATTATTTAGCATACCTCTCCACCTAAAAGAACAGAGTCAGATTGTTTGCAACCATCGACAATACCTTTTACAACCTAGAAAAAGGTAAAACAAACAAAAAACGTGAGTAAGCTTCAATTAGTGATATGTATTTACACAACCTAAGAAACTCAGGCACTGTGAGCTCTACCTTTTCAGCAAGATCAACATCGAGCCGGCTTGTAGCATAGTAATCAAGGAAAAATAACGGCTTAGCACCAGAAGTAACAATATCATTGACACTTATAACAACCTAAGAATCGAAACTGATTTAGAGCAGCAGTTTTCAACGACACATTGTGTACCACATGACAATTCATTCGAACAAAATTAGCATTACCAAATCAATACCAATGGTGTCGTGAATTCCAGATTCGAAAGCAAGCTTAAGCTTCGTCCCGACGCCATCCGTACCGGCAACGAACCACTTAGCCACTACTGATTTATGAAATTCAACCCAAATCAAAACACCCAAAACCACAAAATTCAAGAAAACTAATATTATCTACAAAAAGGACCATCTTTGATGTAAAAATTCCAAATTTTCACAGTTTTCAAACCCAAAACAACGAATTGATGAAAATCCAGTAATAATTTAACGATCTGGAAACAAAATCAAAGAAATAAATCGTCAGATTTGAAATTTTGTTAGGTACTCAAGGCCAAGAGAAGAGCCCAACCCCAAAGACTAGTCTAATAGGTGGGAGGACCCCAAGAACTTAAGAACCCCTACACCCCCATAAGTGTAGTCGATGTGGGGTCATAACATTACACCACCCTTCGGAAGCCAACGCCTACGATGGCCCTTACTTTGGTGGCTTTCACTCTTAACGGTGGCACACCCTTTGGTCGTCCCGTTAAGGTAGCCATTTCCAGGTGGCCCCCTCCGCCGCGTCGGGAACTTAAGCTCTGATACCAATGTTAGGTACTCAAGTCCAAGGGAAGAGCCCAACCAAAAAGACTAGTTCAATAAGTGGGAGGACCCCAAGAACTTCAGAACCCCTACACCCCCATAAGTGTAGTCGATGTGGGATCATAACATTACACCACCCTTCAGTCTTAATGGTGGCGCACCCTTTGGTCGTCCCGTTAAGGTAGCCCTTTGTAGGTTGCCCCCTCTGCCGCATTGGAAACCTAGGCTCTAATACCAATGTTAGGTACTCAAGCCCAAGGGAAGAGCCCAACCCAAAAGACTAATCCAATAGGTGGGAGGACCCCAATGACTTAAGAACCCCTACACCCCCATAAGTGTAGTCGATGTGGGATCATAACAAATTTACCAGTCCAGGAGTAGATGATGACAAGCAAGAGATGAAGGCGACCAGTACGAGGATGACGAAGCAGGAAGAGGAGCGAGCTGACGAGGACGAGTGATGACTCTCTTTAGACGACGGGCTTAGGCAGTCCCGTGGTATATGGGGATCCTCGCTAAGAACACCTAGCGAAGGAGATAGTCGGAGCAACTGAGGGCTAATCTCATTAAACTTACTCCCATTGCCTACCAAACATGGAACTACACTAATAATTAGTGTAGTCTAGTATAAAGAAAGTTAGTGAGCCCAAACAAACACTCCTAATATTCTTAGACTGAAATCTTATTAGTTTTCAAGTTTTGATTGAAAACTTTGATATTAATGTATTTCCATATCGATTAATACATTTTTAACTTAAAATTGAAAGTTGTAGTTGCTTATATTAATGAGATTTTAAATAAAACTAATATTTGTGGTATTGAAAATACTAAAAGATAAATTATATTCACCACCTCGTGGAAGAAAATTCAAAATCAATAGGAAATCATGTCTTGCCATAAAAATTATACACTATTGCATTCTAGATTAGGTTAGGGATGTGTTTGTGTAAATCCTAAGAAATCTTTATAATACCTATTGGGTAAGGATTTTACCTTCCCTACTACTATAAATAGGGGCACAACATGGTGAAATAATACACACCCCAGTATTACTACAAACTCTCTCCTTGCCGGCGCACCTCTTTCACTCCCACTCTATAATTTGTCAATTAAATAGGCCCTACAACACGTGTATGATATATATTCAACTTGTGTATAGACATGATTTCCAGCTTACACGTGTATGATATATACTTAACTTATCTAAGGACATGACATTCAGCTTACACGTGCCTGATATATACTCAGCTTGCTTACGGACATGATATCCAGCTTACACGTGATATATACTCAACTTGTCTACATACATGACACTTAGTTTACACGTGTATGATAGATGCTATGCTTGTCTACGAACATGACATCCAGCTTATACGATATAATCAACTTATCATTACGTTGAGACTACTTAATAACGACATGATTACATTATCCAACTTACATTTACACTAGCTACGACTAGAGTATGATATTGTATGCAATGTCATTGGAATCTGTTGTAGTTGGCATATTTGACGTTGAGGCCTCTTCCCAAAGTTCTGACACATTCTTACCAGGCATGTTATCTACTCGACTTTACTTGTAGAACTAGTATTTTGGCAAATATGCTTTGAACATATTATTGTGCATGTAATAGAGAGTTGCAACCTATTAGGTGTGGCCCTTTGGAGATGTGTTGAAATAAACGTGATTACTTGCAGTTGTTGAAAATTGGGCTTATCCTTATTGTCCTTTGGAGATGTGTTGAAATAAACGTGATTACTTGCAGTTGTTGAAAATTGGGCTTATCCTTATTTTAGGGAAAGTTCTGCTAAATTTTTGGTAGATTTATTAGTTGATAATTTTAGTTATATTTTCATGTATATTACGACTACATCACTCATTCGGGCCAGCATGTCTTGATTTTCGTGCTACTAAATATCGGGATCGAGGTAAGTCTATCACGCTTCGATCCCGACATACATCTAGGATCGACACATGACATCACTAAATACCCGTATCTCTAACATACCCCACCTCCGGGATATGTACAAAGCATAATTCAAGAATCAACTGCGTAATAATTTTTCATATGCTTTATGGCTTCATCTAACCTCCTCGTTAGACTGCCTACGTACCCTAAATAGGGATCAAACCATTCGTAGTTCATCAGTTCAATAAACTCATATTACTACTGCAAGACATTCCTACAGACATGTAATCGGAATAACTATTAAAAAACGGTATGCTTTCTTTGTACAGCTTGTCTAGGCATATGAGAAATATATACATACAGCTTCACAACGTGAATCATCAACTTGATTTTGGTTTCAGTATAGGCATGCACTAATGTACTATTAGATTACCACATAACACAAGTATTTACAGCCGCAAGGGCTCAGTGCAAAAGAAAGTAGAGAAGTTATTTAACGAGGTCTAACTCCACCTAATAACAATAACCACTTCCCAATAGTTAAAGAGTTAATTCAATACTACGATATGTGCATCATCATGGTGCAAAGACTGCAGCTCATGTCTCACAAATTCTATAATCTATACAGACATTGTGATCTGGTGACAACTAAATAGAGAGCACCTCCCTTATTGCTTCACTTATCTCCCCAGGACAGCACGATAATCAACCAAACATTTCAACCAAATGTATGTTCTCAAAGTAAATTAACAATCCCAATTCTGCACTCGTCCACTCCCTTCTCCGATTGGTCTCCATTCTCCTTCTTCTTTTTTTTTCCGCCTTTCTTCCTTCCCTTCTCTCCTTTCTCTCTCCTCTCCTTTTAATCCCAGCCGCCCATCTTTCTTCTTTCTATTCTTTCCTTCCATCCCAGCCACACATGTGGCTTCAAAGATCTTTGCTCTAGAAATCCGGAGGTTCCAAATTGAGAAAATTACCAAAATATTCTTAACTCTAAACGTTAATAACTATTTCACTATAACTTTATTTCACGAATGGTTTGCATCTATGCGTACGTGAGATCGAGCTCTATTCAAAAATATAAATTGTGATCTCGACAGGTCTACTAATTTTAAATAATTAATTTTCAAACTTCAAACTTGGTAACTAGTTTAATTAAAATCTAAATTCAGATAAATTGATATAAATTCTCAAAAAATAATATAAAACTCAATAATACAAATACGTAGATTATAATAGTGGAATTCAGGAACGGGATTTCACAGTATCAACCTAAACCACCAATTGTTTTCATTAGTTAAGATTTTCCAAACCAATTTGGTGAAGAAAGCCAAACTAAAGTGCTCAGCTTTTCTAATCCCTGAAACCCTTAATATTTAGGCATACAAACATCATTCCAGGCAACTGGAGAAAAGTTTGAATTTTTTATTTATGAATAATCTATATTATCTACACTAATGGAATGGGGGTGGGTTAAGCCTCACAATGGGCTAGCAATACTATGGTTCAAATTCGCTTTTGGCTAGAATCGAACATAATACCTCTCACTTACCAATGAAGAGGAATACCATTAGACCATACTACCGTAGTATTAAGTGGCGAAAGTTTGAAATTTTTACTCCAAAGAAATTTCCTACTCTCTTTATTTATCCAGGAGGATCCTCACCGAATCCTCTTTGTGAGGATCCTGAGGATCTTCCAATTACATCCGTTCATCGTATATTGTGCGGTCAAAAATTTTTGTAATTTTTTTATTTAAAATTACAGTACCTGATAAAAATTGGCCGTATGATGTATGATGAACGAATATGATTGAAGATTTTGTGATCCCACGAAAGCTTAAGTTCATGGTATAAAGCCCAAATGTCACTTGAATTATCTATAGCCATAGACCCAACAATTATCCTAGTTGAATGATCGCGTTCTATGTTGGGGGAAGAAGATGAACGATTAGGGTTTATGGGGTGTGTCTTCTTTCGTCTTTTCACACAATTAAAAGTTAAAATAATTTATAAGTGGTGTAGTGAACTTAGATAAAATATGGTTTTTAAATAGAAAAACTTTTTCTTTTATACTCATATTGAAAATGCATGCTTAACGTTTTGGTTATTTGTTGATTGATCAACACACATGCACATGCGTACGTATAGTTAATGGGAACATTTTCGTTGCAGCTATGTTTTTCTTTTATTTGTTTAATTTCTTCAAGTAATGTGTTAACCAAATTTAGGTCATGATTTCGCTTGAATTTATGGGAAATATATATTTATAAAACTGAATTCAAAGAAGAGATTTGATAATTAAGGTAACATAGTTTGTGTGGAGTCAATCACTCAACTGCATCAGCAGGTTAGCTTGTTCAACTTTTTTGGCATAATTAATTGTAAAGATAATATAGTTGTAAACCGTAGACTCCAATCAGGTCAGGTGTGAGATTTCAAATATGGAGATTTACTTCATGTTTAAAACTGCCAAATATATTGCTAACTGTTAAGAAATCTGGAAAGTAAAAAGCCTTCCAGATAAGTTTAAATGGTCAACTCTCAACTTATTATTGTTAAGGTTTTTTTAGCCAAAATAGTCCTGAGATTTGCATAACACGTCACTTTGGTCCATGAGATTGAAAATCAATAGAAATGGTCCCTGAGATTGTTCATCATCTATTATTTTGGTCATTCCGTTAAAAATTTTGTTAAATGTCCTAGAGCTTTTGGCCGGAATTTTAGGTAATTTTCAAACCTTCGTAACTCAATCGTTTTTTTTTAACCAAATTTGACCCATAATATATCAAAATGAAGATAGAAAGGTGTAGAACAAGATTATACCTATTTGGAAGCCCAATGGTTGACAGAGATGACAAAAAAATAGCCTGAAAGGTGACTGGTCCAAAGGAAAACTGGAAAACTCGCCGAAAACTGGGTAAACTTTAAACGTTCATAACTTTTTTAATACTGGATGGTGGACAATTGCCCAAACTTTCAACCAAGAGCTCCGGGACACTTAACGGAGTTTTTAACGGAATGATCAAAATAATGGATGGTGGACAATCTTAGGGACCATTTCTATTGATTTTCAATCTCAGGACCAAAGTGATATGTTATGCAAATTTCAGAGATCATTTTGGCTAAAAAACCTATTGTTAATTGATTATGAATTGAAAGTTCGCATTCTAACCTAGTATTAAAAGAGATTATAAATGCGTGCGCTCTC